CGCGGAGCTGTCGCCGCGCGCGGTGCTGCCGCCCCGGCCCCGCCGCGCTCGGGGCTCGGCCGCGTCCCCCCGTCCCCGTTATTCCCAAAATACCCGCCTTGGCGCAGCCTGGAGGGTGCGCGCCAACTGCTCTTATCAAGCGGCTTTATTAGTTATTTTTATTATCTTTCTTATTCTATTACTTATTTATTTTTATTAATTATTTCAATATCCATATTTATTAATTTATAATTTTTATTACCGATTTTCATTATTACTTTCGTTGCTTTTTATCATTTTTATTATTTATTTTTATTATTTTTATTATTTATTTTTATGATTTGATTTTACTATTTGTTTTTACTATTTATTTTTATTATTATTATTTATTTTTACTTACTTCTGTTATTTTTATCATTCATTTTATTGTTTAAGGCGATTATTTTATCATTTGTTTTCTTCTCATCAGTTATTCTATTCATCAATTCTTCCTTGCAGCGTTGAGTTTCTCCCTCCATTCCTTCCCGCGTCCTGCTCCGCGTGGACGCCGAGCCCCGGACACGCGGCCTCGGCCCTTCCCGGCCGCAGCTCCGGAGCCGACATCCCCCGTGCAGCCGCTCCGGGGTGGGATTCGGCGCCCGGAGAAGTTGCTCCCTCCTCCGTGTTCCCGCAGAGCGGAGTTTGCGAGCCTGAATCTGACTCTTTCCTGAGCAAAAACACAAGTCAGGGCAAAGAGGGGCTTAGATATTTCGCCATCCCGGGGCGACCTTCCTGGAGCAATGCCTGGGGTTTCCAGCATGAGCCTCGCGTTTCCCATGGGAGCGGGACTGACCTTTCCCAATGCGCAAAGGGCGTAATTCCAGCTTTTCCTTGGCACGTAGGGAATGGAGCGCCCCGTTTTCACACTGTTGACCCCTCATTCCGCTCATGGGGAATCGGGCCTGGGCACGCGGCGTTGGGACGGACACGGCTTCGGCGGCTGCACCTTGCGGGGAGGCGCCCGTTGGGTCTGGGAACAAAACACTTGGTTTTCGTTAAAAAATTCCTAGCAACTGGGAGTATCTTTTAAAAATAAACGCCCGGGAATGCGCAGGGATATCTGCGGGCGGGACGGCAAGGAGAAGCGGGGACACGGTGGGGATGTTCCCTGCGCCGGGAAGCGGCCTGTGCCGGGAGGAGGAGGAGGAAGGCGAAGGACCGGCCGGACTACAGCTCCCGGCAGCCCCCGCGGCGCGGCGGGACTACAGCTCCCGGCAGCCCCCGCGGCGCGGCGGGACTACAACTCCCGGCAGCCCCGCGGCGCGGCGGGACTACAGCTCCCGGGGTGCCGCGGGGTCCGCCCCCGGCCGCCTCCCCCTTTGCCCCGCGGCGCCCGGATAAAGGTTCCGCGGCGGAGGCAGGGCCCCTCGCTGCGACGCCGCCCGTGAGGAGGA